TATAAAATAAATATAAAATAAATATAAAATAAATATAAAATAAATATAAAATAAATATAAAATAAATATAAAATAAATATAAAATAAAATTAAATATATAAAATAATTATAAATAAAATAATTATAAATCTTCAACTATTTTATCTATTTCAGCAACTGGATCCCAATTAACATTTTCTTGAGCCTCTTGAGTTAGATTTGAAATAGCTTCTACTTCACTATAATTTTCTTCAACATTATATTCTTCATCTATACTAAATTCTAATTCATCTAAATCACTACAAAACTTATTTAAATCCAAAACATTACTAATTAATAAATTATCTTCTTCATCAAATATTTCAGTTTCATTATTTTCATCATTTAAACTATCTTTAGTAATTTCAATAAAATTTTTGTCTACATCTAAATTTTCATTCATTAAAATTTCATAAACCTCATTATTTGTTTTTTCAATACTATAATATGGTAATTCTTGTTTAGCATGTGAATTATAATAAGATGCAAGTTTTTGCATATTTTCAATTTTATGTAATCCTAATCTATTCCGTCTAGTTCCATATATCCAACCTAATCTAGACCATACATGTTCAACTCCAGCAGTATGTGGGATAACAGAAAATAATTTTAAAGCTAATTGCACTAAATAATCTTCATTTTTTGGAAAACAATCTTCAAGTGAAAACCACCAAACACTTGGATTTTCTGAATCACTATATGAAATATCAAATGGTTCTTCTCTTATACGATATAATTTCATTTGATATAATAATTCTTTTTTTGCAATATCTGATTTATTCATTTCTTTAAAAAGTTCATTAGCCATTAATAACAAATTTCTAAAAACTCTATGTCCCCAATATTATTCTAAATAATTTATAAGTAAAAGATTAATATTTATTAATAAAAAAATGCTTAGTATTATAGTTTAAATATTATTAATTTTTTACCATTATATTTAGGGTGTAAAAAAAAACATAACAAATAAATAGAACTATCAAATTCATTATATCTTTTATTAAAAATAGCAATACATTGATTACGAAATGTATTGTTATTAAAAGTAAGTTTGTTAATTGCTGCCCCAAGATAAATAAGCTCACAAAAACAATCAGCAAGAGAACAAGACTGTGATTGCAAAGTTATAATTGCTTTTTTAACAGGATATAATATATATGATAATATGCGAATATTATCAAAAAATGCATAAGATCCTAAAATAGAAAGAGTAGCTGATGAAAGTATATCTGAAGAATTATATTTAAGCTATATTAAAATATAAATATTAATAAATAAAAATTTAAATATTAGAAAATTTAAAAATATTAAATAATACTTTTAAAAATATAGATTACTTTAATAGTATATATTATTTAATTATTAATAAATTATAAATTTACTATTAAAAAAACTTACATTTTCTAATACTTCTTTATGATTAAGAATAGAATTAACACAATCATACATAGTATACTATCTTGTATTAACATATTGTTTTAAACCTCCACCAGAAATATTAAGTCTGTTTGCTTCTTCTCTTAATCTTGCACCTATATAAAAATTTATTAATTATATAAATTATTAAAATAAAATTTGTAAATTATATACCTGCTTGATGACTTTTTTTAAAAAAAGTTACAAGTGTTTTGCATTTAGTTAAAATTTTATTTGCAAAAGATAAATTGCAAATATCTTTTGAAATTAGATTTATAGCATGTGCTATACAATGAATATTTAATATATGCTTATATTTTGTTGAAATAATTTCTCGTGTATTTTGAACATTTGATTCTGTATCAGATACTATTGCTGAAAATTTATCACTACCAATTATTTCAATTATTTTTTCTAGTTCTTCAGCAATTAAACTTGCAGTATGACTTTGAGCTGATAAATCTATTAAACTCCATAAATATTCACAATGATCTGGTGTATAAATAAGAAAACCCCAAATTGATTCATTTGATAAATTTGTCCAACCATTACATGCTGCAAATATAAATTTGTTAATATATTAAAATAATACAAATAAAAAAATTCATTGCATATTATATATATATATATATTATTTTGTAAATCTGTATAGCATGCTAATTAAAATTTTTATAAATAAAAAATTTCATCTTTACTTATAGTAAAGTAAGAATAAGATTTGGAATTAAGATAAAGATTAAATTTTATCAAAATTTTACTATAAGCCAAAGACAATTTTATAATTAAAATTTTTAATACCTCTATATATATATATACTAGCATATAAATAGTAATTGTTTAATTAAATTTATTGTAATAAAATAAAAATCTTACCTAAAGTTAAATTTTTAGAATAATTTAACTTTTGAATAATTTTTATATTAATTGATGATACTTCTTGAGAAAAAATACGTCCTGAAAGAACTTCAGAAGAGGGTGGATTATATCCTGGTCATAATGTTTTTAAAAAATCAATAAAAAATGGATTATTAATTACTCTCCATGATATACCACATATAACAAAGCTTTAATACAAGCTTTATTAATTTCATTAGTTCTTTCTAATGTAAGTTTAGAACTTTCATTAAAATCAGATATTTTTGTTTGAACATTTTTAATAGATCCTTGTCTTGGATTTTTAAATCTTGTCAAAACCTTGTTTAAATATATTTGCTTAACATCACTTGGAACATTAGGACAATTGTTAGCCAAATGTTCTTCAAAATCTTGAGGAGATCCTTTATGCTGAGAATAAGAACAATAATTGCAAGTCCCTTGATAATGTCCTTTAGAAACTTCATTTCCTTTTTTAATATGAACATCCCAAAGACTTGCAGGTGGTCTACCTCCAGATTTTTTATTTGCTTGAGACATATTCTAAATAATTTTAAATTAAACTAATTAAAATTTGTTTTTTAAATAACTATATATAAACAGATAATACACATTTTACCAACAATCACTTCATTAATAGTTTAGTTTACTAACAATTAATTTATAGACAAGTTCATTTTACCAATAATTAACTTACCAACAAGTTTAATTAACTAACTATTATTTCACTGACAGCTTATTTTACTAACAAAGTAATTCTGGTTATTGTTATTAGTGTAAGGTTAGTGTAATTTATAAAAAATACTTGTTGGTAAAATAAACTATTATTGAAATAATTGTAGTAAAATAAACTTACTGGTAAGTTAATTGTTGATGAAATGATCTTATTGGTAAATTAATTGTTTATGAACTAAGCTGTTGGTGAAGTGATTGTCAATAAAATAACACATATCTAATAAAAAATAAAGCAAGAATTTTATATAGAAATTTATGGGATCTGGTTAACTCACTTACAATCACTTCGTAGACACCATATTTTACTGACCAACAAGTTTATATTACAGACAGTTTATTTTACCGAAGCTCATTTTACAGACAATGTAACTCTGGTTAATATTATTAGGGTTAGGTTAGAATTAGAGTTAAAGTTAGTATAATTTATAAAAAAAAACTTGTCAGTAAAATTAGCCTCAGTAAAATAGACTGTTAGTAAAATAAACTTGTCGATTAATAATTCGTTGGTAAAATGTTGTGTCTATGAAGTGATTGTTGGTAAAATAATATGGACCACAAAATTATAGCATTTGTTTTATCAGGTGGTGTGCATTTTGCAGACAATACTTTACTGACAATTAATTCATGGACAAGTTCATTTCACTGACAATCAACTTATCAACAAGTTCATTTTGCCAACAATTATTTTGCTGAAGCTCATTTCACTAACAAAGTAATTGGTCATTGTTGTTAGTTTCACGATAGAATTAGAGTTAAGGTTAGTATAATTTATAAAAAATACTTGTCGGTGAAATGAGCTGTCAGTGAAATAATTGTCAGTGAAATGAACTTGTCAGTAAGTTAATTGTTGGTGAAATGAACTTATCTGTGAATTAACTATTGGTGAACTAAGCTGTCGGTGAAGTGATTGTCAGTGAAATAACATGTATCTATATACTTACAACTATGTAAATATAAACTAAATAAGATTTACTAGTAAAAAAGATTATATTTTAAATTTTAAAAACAATTAACTTACAGCACGAAAAATATCCTATGTATAAATATACGAATATATACATATATATGTTAATATTTATATATTATGCGAACAAATTCCATAAATATCAATTTTGTACTAATATATACCGTTGTTACTACGAAGTAGGAAAGCAAATGACCATAAGACCTGATTAGCGTTGATAGTAACAGTTGGAAGGATCAGTAGAGTTAACAATATGCGTGAAATACGGGTAAGATAATGCAAGGTATAATTTAAGGATAGGCGATAAGGTAATTAATATAATAAATAAATAAAAATAAATAGATAGGTAAATAAAACAAGGAAGAAAATAAAAAAAAAAGAAAT